CTCTAGTCTTACACTACTAAATTAGGGACAGCTAACGCAGATAGCCCTCGTGTACCTTTGCGTGAAATTCAACACAAACCAAACCAGAGTTCACCAGTGACTGAAAAACAAAAGCCCTCGTGTAGCTTTGCGCAAAATTAAAAAACAAACAAACAAACCTCTTACTCATAATCCAAACATTGCTGTAATACAATGAGGAATTCAGTATAGAAAATCCGCCAACTCATGTAATTCAAACTTAGAATTTGCATATTCTGAATTTCCGTCATTGTAAATGCATAATTTCTATATTTTGTAAACTCCTCACACACATACACATACATAAAAACACTGTTAGTCACTCAAAAATGAGGTCATATTTTAATAATGATCTCTTATTCACAAAACACCTGATAAGAATCGAATTTAAAAACTGTTATTTCTAAATTTATTATTTTTTTTCAATGTAATTTAGCACGCTAAAATTTGGGGGGAATAATGAGTCCCTTTAAAAATACACGTGAGTTCAAGGTGTCTTGTTTTGCCCCCTCCCCACTTGCTCCCTCCCTCCAATTGTTCCCAACGTTAGGTTTCAAAAGATACTTTGTATTGAGTTTTGATTGTTTGTTCGTAATTAAGCACAAAGCTTCATAATAGGCTATCTGTGCTCTGCCCACCACGGGTATCGAAATCCGGATTTTAGCGTTGTAAGTCCGCAGACATACCGCTGTGCCACAGGGGGGCTGGAGTTTCGAAGCCCCAAAGTACTCACAGATCTTGGAAAGAATCAAAATGTTTTTGACCATTTTAGCATATCTATCTTGTTTGGGGAGGGGATATCAAGTCCCTTTAAAAGTGGATTGACGAATAATGGTCAAAAGCATGAACTTACCAAGACACCAACCGAACCGACCCTCTTCTTCTACTTTAAACCATCGTTAACCTTGTATTTGGAAATTTATTAACGAACCTGTCAACAACATCATCAAGATCAATGGAAAGAGCACGCTAGTTACTGTTAGACTTTTCAGTCTCTTATTTGCCATATTGGTTCTCAGTTGATTTTTGATCAGTTTTAGCTTGTTAAAGCTCCTTTCACAGCCGGCTCTGCAAACTATGAGAGTTATTGTTATCTTTATAACCTTCTGTAGTTCAGTAAAATCCAAAAACGAGGGTTTGAAATGTTCTGTAAACTCCCAGACTGCTCCAAATGTCGCACATGAGCGCTCATTCATTCTCTTAGCTTGCCTCATTTCCATTTGTATGTCTTCAAGATTCAGTCCATAAGGGGATGCAAAAAGTATAATAGTCTCAAAATCAAGGAATTTTTCATGAACTTCTGATTCATTAAAACACCGAAGGATCAAAATCATCTGCTCTCTTTTGGATAGGTCTTTAGTTTCATAGACTAAGACTGAAACGTACTGATATTCTCTTATTTCGTCCAAAATGATATAACTGAGGACATCCAAAATGGCATCTTGTACATTGTGGTACGTATATTTGGCATTTTAGGTCCTTCACACAGGTGTTCCGAGAATAAGTCTTTAAGAAATTTAATATTTACAAAGAGTTTCTTTTATTTTCAGCTGTGTCTTCTTCATGATTACCCCCTCTGAGCGATGTTTTGGACAGCTGTAAATCTCAGCATATGTGCAAGTATTTTAATGTATTCCATATTTTTCCCCACATTCAGTTAGTGAGATTCATTAAACGATCTGCTACTGTTTTCTCAGAAAACTTTGATTCTAAAAATGCATTATTTTTGTACCCGTTGTTCAAATGTGCATCAGACTGCTTGTGTTACCCGTTCACTTTTTTCAGTGTATTGAGCCCTTCAGACACAAAAGCTTGACCACCTTGATATTTAGTGCTTGTACTAAAATGACGACAGACAGAACAGTAAACTTTTTCAGTAGATGAGGAATATTCAAGCCAAGGATATGCTTTATAACACTCAGGTATGGATTTTCGTCCATGAGACTTTGGAAAGCGGAAGGGCTCATTAAGACCAGGTCGAATTAGTCCATTGTCGGGCGTTCGGGATATTTTAGCCGGCCCACATACTCCAAGAGTCGGCCTAGGCAGAGTTGATTTTCCACTGCTGCTGTTCGGCTCGCGTAATTAATTCTTCAATGATAACGGTTTCGCACAATATATCTTCATGTTTTTGATGAGAAGTATCCACACTGCCTCTTTGGTTCAATAGTCTATCCTCTGTCTCGTCTTCTGGTACGACTATTTCATCTTCAGTCCTTCAGCGCATCTCGCTTGGTCCACCTTTCTCCTTGATTAATAATGGCTGGAGACGGCTTGAATGGGTAATGAAGAAAAACTTTAATACAACAGCAAATGTACAACGTACAAATGTACAAATGTACCTGATGATGACAAAACCTTGTCGAAACGTTATACATTTGCTGTTGTATTAAAGTTTTTCTTCATTACCCATTCAAGCCGTCTCCAGCCATTATTAGTCTCAAAGTGGGTTCCTCGTCATCGAATTTCTCCTTGATTGTTTCATCTTCCTGGCAATCCTGTGATTTACGCGGGATTTTGAAAATTTTTCTTATATCTATTTTCTCAATAGTAAGACTTGATGTGTCTACACATGTATGCAGAACATCAATTTCATGTAATAATTAACAACAGTCAAATGTATCATTTAAAGATACCCGCGACCTCTTGGCCTAGAAACTTGAATAACAACAAGTACTGATGTGAAAAGTAAAAGCGCCGAAGATAGCTTGGTACACAACAAACTCGTGTTTGTCACAACTACTTACAGCAAAACCAATCTGAAGACTTTATTTATCAACGTTTCTGAGAAAGGCATGCCTAGGTCTTTTTTTAACCCTTGTGCAGGGGAAGTATAATATTGCAATTGCTCAGGCAAAGCATAATATTTATAGCCTTTAATCGTAATTTGTTACAGAGCTATCAAATATAAAATCACACCCCTCTTGCCATGCCCACCTATCAATCCTCCCTTTCAGAACTTGTCAATAGTTTTCTCTGACTTTTAATCCTATATTATATATAACCAATAGAAAACCAAGGGTTCTGCCTTTGAAATGGCGTATTATTTTGCTTTCTTTTTTTCCTCAATACACAAGGTGTAGTTTCAGTTTCTGATTTACTTTTGTTCCCAAGAGAAACATATCGACCACCTTTGCTTAATTTCTAACGAAGTTTGTGGCATAGTTAGAAAGCCAGAAAAATGTGATAGTTATGGAACATATTCAGCTTTTTGCATGTTATTATTCTGCGTTCTTTCGAGCATTATTTAATTAAATAAATAAATAATTATTTAGTATAATAGTACAATTAGTATAAAAAGTAGGGTTAAATGAAATACATATTATTGTAGGATATATCTGGTTGACTTCTACCATACAAGAAAAAATAACATCCCCTAAAACGGCAGTGCGCGTGCGAACGTGTTTTCTTATTATACATATTACATTTTCTCTTTGTATGTAGTATTAAATTTGGGGAGGGAGCATAAAGAAAATTTGGGTGGGCAAATGTCCCCTTGCCCGATTGTAGCACCGCCGTTGTTTTTGAAGCACAGCTGTGAACAGCTGAACTTAAATGTATAGTTGTAAATTATCTATATTAAGAAAAATACGAGTGTTAAAATATAATTTATTTTTTTGAATTAAATACCAAACACATCAAATAACTTCACATCAATGTAGTTTGATTGCATACGTTTTTGTATTGAGAGAAATGAAAGTATATGTTTACTTTTATACTTCCAATTTATATACGTGTAAATGAAATGTGCATGCGTATTTAAACATAAACATATCTTCAACCATCTAAATGAACAAGCATGTATATATATAAAACACCTACCTAACAACAATGGAAGTAGGAATGTCAACGGTAACACCATTCCAACGAGCAACAAAAATAGTTTTCATTGGATAATTCAGACATCCGCCATCCATATGAATCGTCATTCCCAGAGGAAGTACAAATCGGGTAATGTAGCTGTGAATTTTATTACCTTCTTCCATGTAACGCATAGTGACAGGAAGAGTTGCGGCACTAGAAAAGAACTATAGTGTTAGTAAGATCAAGTGTTTTAAAATTTATTAAAATAAATTAGGGATATTCAAGCTTTAAAATGTAATACTTTGCTACATTTTATCGTATCGTCCCTTGATGACAACAATGTAAGAAAACATTTATAATTTATATGCAATTTAAGAAAACAGCAAACCATAGGTAAAATAGACCATTAGTCTTAGAATAATGACTGAGCAAAGAAATTTCAATGTCGGATAACAACCTACTCCGCACAAATAACTTATTTTAACAGTTTGTCTAAATTTTGTTGTAACGTTATAATGAAAAAATAATTTAATTACAACAAACATTAACTCACCTAGATGCTGTTCCGAAAGCAGTCAAAACAACCGGTAAAAGATTGAAGTAAAAACGAAATGGGTTTTTTCTGATAATTATAAGATAAAGGAGTGGCATCAAAACTAGCTGATAACCCACGAAGAGACCCAGGACAACTATAACGTACCACATCAAGCGTTGTAGAACACCGAGTACAGACTGGGTATTAAGACCTTCTTCACACATCCAAAAGAACATCCCCATCAAGAGAAACCTTCAACAAGAAACATTGTCATTGCAAGTCTAGATTTCACATTCGTAATGTCACAGATACTTATCAAACCCTAAAGACCTTTGGACTAGCCTTTTAGTTCACGTGTCGCATAACGTGCTGTTCAAAAACTAAAAGAGGTATAAGATAAACATATCGACATTATACGATTGGGAAAACCCGGTTTTTGAAAAAAAATTATAAATTTAATGTTAAGGTTAAATTTGTTTTAAGAAAAGGAAACTATTTTTCTCTCTCTCTTTCAGGGTTCTTCTCGTGTATGATACACTTGTAGACACACTTACAAACTGTATGAAACGAGGACATTGTTATCAAGTCTATGTATACATGTACATCTAACACAAAACGTAACAAAAACATTTACGATGTTTTACCATTCATCACAAAGACTTCTTTGGCTTGAGAGAATAGATGTTTAATTTTTCACTCGGTCTTTATTAAATCTTATAAACTTTTAATCAGGTATTCAGACTTTTTCCCGTCTGGAAGGTCATAGTGACACCTCAAGTCAAATTACATTAAAACCTTTTGTTTTCCTGTTGATATCTAACTTAGATCAGGGTCTAAAACATACTTGATAATTAATGTGTTTT